CAGATTGTGCCTAAGATAACAAGTCCATTTTATTTTAGAAGCCACTGGCACAGCCGAGTGCTGTAACAAAGGAGCATGAGAGACGTTAGTAGACACAGCTAATAGAAAACTTGGTTCCGAACTGAAAAGGAGGCTAGGAATTTTAAAGCAATGATAGTCTACATAGAAAACAGACCCGGAGTTCCTACAGAATAAGTGACAAGGGCGTCTTCCAGTCTATTAAGAAGACAAGCCCTGGTCGGTCTCTCAGTTGATTGGAGCGACCATCCCATGCACCAAGGTTGCAGGTGTGATTGCCTGGTCAGAGCACAGATGAGAAGCAACTAATGAACGCATATGTAAGTGGAACAACAACTCTCTCTCTCTCTACCTCTCCCTCTCTATCTCAAATCAATTTTTAAAAAAGACAAGAAGCAGGGCCCAAGTCATATTTTGTGAAGATGTTAGGTATGCTTGTTATTTCTCTAAAATTATTAAACATGCTGACCACTTCCAGTGGCAAGAAATGAAACTGGATTGGAGGAATGATACAAGTAGAAAGAAACAGTAATGCTAATCATGGTAGAAGTGAAAATAATGAACATTTATTTAACACTTCACCTAGAGCTGAAGATTTAATAAGAACTTTACATGGAGTGTGTCATTTAATCCTCACAAATAACTTTCTGAGTTATTTGACAGCATAAGCTGCCAGGGAATTATTTTAACTTAGCCTTGAGAACAGAATGAGCTCTCTATGGTTGAAGAGTCAGATTCCCCTCTGCCTCTCTAAAAATGCACCTGAATTCGTTGAATTACAGGAATGATAGAAAGCTTCATGACCAACTGAATTCATATAAATTTATATATTGCTAAGAATGACTTCTAATGAGTAAAAATATGAATTATTAGTCTAGGTTCCTTAATTTCCAAATGAATAAATTTGAGGCTCAGAGATTATGAGACTTACTAAAATCATGATTGTCAGAGATACCTCTCTCTCAGTCTGTGGCCACTGGCCCCACACCTCACGACCCACAATACAGAGAGGGAGACTATGTGCCATTCCACTAATTTGTAATAGTCCTACTACAAACGCAGTCTCTTACATACAAAAAAAAAACCCCGCTTTGGAGTCAATGTCAATGAGTTAGGTTTATATGGCCAAATGTTAATATCTAAACTGCATATTGGACTGCAAAAATTTCTTCTTAAACTGCTACAATGCCTCAAAAGACCTATGTGATACACTTCCAAATTCTCAGAACAATATTAGATTAGAATGACCTGAAAGATACACAGCACAATAACATGGATTCCCAATTCAGCCTTAATTCCCAATGCTGAATCTGTTTTTTAAAATAATTAACTTCCCTGGCTGGTTTATCTCAGTGGTTAGAGTGTGGGCCTGCACACTGAAGGATCAGTGGTTCGATTCCTAGTCAAAGGCACATTCCTGGGGTGTAAGTTGGACCCAGGCCCTGGTCAGGCAGGTTCAGGAGGCAACCAATTGATGTGTCCATCTCACATTGATGTTTCCTTCTCTTTCTCTTCCTCTCTCCCTTCTTCTCTCTCTAAAAATCAATGGAAAAAATATCCTCGGGTGAAACTTAACAAAATTTTTTAAATAATAAAATAATTAACCAATTGATTCATATTTAATGCCTGACATCTGATAAGAGAAGATGATGGGGGGGAAAAGGAAGTTGAACTTAAAGAAAAACAAAAACATACGAATGCCATGTGGGAAAAAATAAAATTGAGAAAGAAGAATATGTGAGGCATGGATGATCACTTAGAGAAGATGTAGAGGGAAAAAAAATAAAATGGAAATCAAAGCTTGTTCAAGCCATCTGGAAGAGTTCATTCTACCTCAAAATTCTGTTTAATTAAAACCTGGCCACAATTACTGCCATCAGTTGCCTGTCAGTGACATTCTTGCTTCTTGGTAACCAACCCTTATGTCTTTATAACTCTTTAAAACTGCAATGATGATTTTCTGTTTCATCAGTATCTCATCAAATTGCTCACAAGTATGCTCCACCCCTCACAATTAACCACGGACTGACAACACAAAATGACAAAGATCATGGTTTAGCTAAAGCATTATTGTTCAATTTGCAAATGATTTACTGTCATTTGACTTCATGTTTTTGTTGGTTTGTTTTGTTGTTGTTTTTTGACAACAGGGGTGGTAGCTCATAGGTATTAAAATGAATAGCCAAAATATTTAAATTACTATAAAAGTCTTCACTGTTAGAGTAAGAAATAAATATCCTAAATTATTTTTTAAAAGCACTTTATTATCAAAGCCCACTAAAGAATTAGAAACATGAAATAACATGGAGCTATTATGGGGAAAATAGTGAATATCAAGGTCAACAGAATCATAATTTTTAACCCTGATTTTTCTTTCTTCTTTCTATGGTTTAAGTAACTACAAATTTGGAATTTGGCAACATAATAATGTAAAAATGTTATCTATCTAGTTAAGACTCCGTGTCACAACTTTATTAACTATGGTTCCCATTTGGGCTAGCTATAGCCTCACAAATAATCCATCCTGGTAAACCCAGGTAAAAAGCAGAAATGCTAATATAGGATAGCTAGACTGTTATTCTTATTCTCACTGAAAATCCTGCCTATTGCTTTATTTTTAAACTGCCACTAACATGTTTAAATTATAATTGCATCTTCTCAATAAGCACAGTCACTTATTATTGGAACTGGCAGGGGGCCTTGACATTTGAGTCATCATTTCATTATGTCTATTTCTTACCCTGGTATACAAATTAAATAGAAATACCAGCCAGATGAATTATGAATGGTGGGGGGAATCTGAAGCAGTAACTTTAAATTGAATTAATTTTTCTCAAGTCTACCAAAAAATATAAAGCAATTAACATTGGTAATAATACATTCTACTGTAGGCTCATTTCAAAAATATTAACTTCCATTCTAAAGGCCAAAGATGCTGCAAATCCTCCTAGCCAAATATTGTACTTCTTTAAGACAGAACCAACAGCTTTAATATTCCCTATGGTACAAAGCTATAATAATTCCGGTTTTAACACAGCTACAAATAGGGATAAAAATACACATTTAACAACTATCTTCCAATCTAAAGAGCTTCAAAATGGATAGCAATTATTGAATATACTAGAGGCCCGGTGCACAAATTCGTGCATGGGGGTGGGGTGTCCCTCAGCCCAGACTGAATCCTCTCCAATCTGAGACCCCTTAAGGGATGTCTGACTGCCAGTTTTAGGCCTGATCCCACTAGGTGAGATCGAGCCTAAACGGGCAGTCAGACATCCCTCTCACAATCCAGGACTGCTGGCTCACAACCTCTTGCCTGTGTGCTGGAGTGATGGTCAGTTTGCATATTACCTCTTTATTAGATAGGATATTTTGCACATGTGAAAAATATTATTTAAAACATCATGTGTAATCAAATAGGAATAATATAGTTCATTCAGACTAAAATATCCAAAAATGTACTAAAATGGAATCTTCAGGCTTTCCTTAGATGTTTTCTAGTCTCTGAACGTATATGATGAAAATACGACTGGATGGTTTTTCCTAAATCACCTGATTCAGTTATACTAAATCAGAGGTCCTCAAACTTTTTAAACAGGGGGCCAGTTCACTGTCACTCAGACATTCCACACGTGCGCACTGTGGGCCTGGGATGAGTTGGCTGCTAAGCAGGACAGGCAGCGGCGGCAAAAACACCCGGTGGGCCGGATAAATGTTTTCGGCGGGCCGCATGTGGCCGGCGGGCCATAGTTTGAGGACCCCTGTACTAAATGGTTGTGCATCCTTCCATCATTTTCTAATGTTTTGTTTAAAAATTTCCCATTGATTTTCAAAATTATAAAAATGAATCAGTTATGAAGCTAATGTTGTTTAAAATCCTCAAAAATATCTGACTCTGCCTTTAGGAAACTATTTCCTTTTTTATTGCAGGCACTCTAGAATATGTGTAGATTATTCATTCACTAAGTTTTTAATTGTTTCTGCAACTCTTCTTTTGGCCCAGAGAAACCAATTCATTTCTGAAAGCCAACAGCTTTCCCAAAATGATTGGGAACAAGCCGAACACATCTTTATTTATCTTGATACAAAATATTGAAAAAAATCTCTATTGAAAACTAAATGTACATTCAAATGTCTACTCTGATAATTAGCACTAGTTTTCCTTTTAATTACTGAAATTACATTACCAAATTTAAAAGTCATAGCTAATTTTTCTTTATAACTTATTATTTATTTTAATGTTGATTGTTTTCTAAAAATAAAATTTACCTGAGGGAATAGATTTGTTTACACTCAACTACTTAAGATGTACTTCTGTTGTTTTTTCATATTTATTTATAATTTATAATCCAGATGTTCCCAAAAGGGTTTCAAAAATATTCACAATAAACATTCCTAGGTCCACTATTCAAGGAAATGAGTCTTTATTTCAATATTAAAATTTAATTGAAACTCTGAGATAGTTGCTTCATTTCCAACTTTTAGAAAATACATTATTCTGCATGTTAAGACAAAACTAGAATGTAAACCAGATGTTCCTAGATTATGAAATTTAGAACAGAATATATTCAAAGTGTAGCTAATTCCTGACATATTTATTTAAGGATAAGGCAAGCAAGTCCCACAATGCTGAAACCAGGGTTACCTTTTCTCTCATAATTTGTCTTCAATCAGTGGATATATTCATGGGTTTACAATACCAGATTTTTAGTGAACCTTATTTTTATAATTACTATGACTCATATTAATAAATGTCTTCTTTTTATATGCTGAAATAAATTAATGGAAGAGGCAAACACTATGCAAAATGGCTGGGAATAGGGCCAAATCTTATTACATACATTCAGGGACCAGTAATTTTCTAAATGGCACTTTAAGCTCTCTTGCCTAAATAATTACAAGTACAGCCAGCATGTAATTTACTGAAATAATTATGCACTCTTCTAGTTCCCATCACCCATCTCAAGCTCACGGCCACTTACCTTGTCTTTATTTTCCGTGCCAGAAGCCTCGGGCTTGGTCCTAATCACAAATGGGGTGGACAGTCGCAGCAGAACCCTTTCGAAGGTAGCAGTCACCTTCGGAGAAACGATCTCGAAGCAGTCCTCGAACTTGAGCACTTTGTGAGTGTCGCATCGAAGCTGCTTCCGCAGGCCTTCCCCCAGCTGGAGGACTGCCATGTGGGGGTCAAACATCAAGTGGAAAGGAAAGGCTCTGCAGAAGGTGTTGATGCTAATTCTGAGGTCCTCGGGAACTTGGGAGGTTCCCTGTGGAAGGTTCTTCGAGATAGTAGCATTTTCACATTCTTTGATAAGAAAAGTGAGACAGCTACAGTTGCCTGGGTTTGAGCCATCAGAGCATAACTCATTTGCCACCTGTTCCACTTCCACATCCAGCCGATAGATCTTCTTTCCTGCGGCCTTAATCATCCCCAGCATCGCAAAGCCCACAATCTGGTGAGGGTGGAAGTAGTGGAGCATGAGAGCACCTTCAGGGAGCTCTTTGCATAGGAATGATGGTGACTCCAGAGTGGCCTGTTTTCCAAAAGAAGTTCTAATGTGTTCCAACAAAGCATCGAAGCCATTAAAGAAGTCCTGCAACGTGCCACCGACAGCTCGAAGGACTCTCTCGTTCTCATCAAAGCATGTATTAAAGAACTCCTCACCAAATCTTTCTTGAATTTCCTCGAACTTCAATCCTAGAGGTAAATGGGAAGCAAATGTTAGTGAAGAATAATATAAACAACTAAATTTAAAGCTTTTAAATACTTATTAAATGGCATAGCTAGAGAGTGAAACATGAAAGGTAGACAAATCTCCCAAATAGGTTAACTCATTCATCTTGAGTCAGAGAAAGTACATTTCATCTTGTGGATGGTTTTAAAATGTTAATGAGCACAGACTATTTTGTAAGTTTTTAACAGACTTTATTTTTTAGAATAGTTTTAAGTTCAAAGCAAAATTGAGCAGAATGTAAGGATACTTTCTATATGCCCCTCTCCTCCTCTACACACAAGCCCCCCTTCCACTATCAACATAGTGCACTGCAGCAGCACATGCATTACAATCAATGAACCTACAATGATACCACATTATCACCCAAAGTCCAGAATTTACATTAGAGTTCACTCTTGGTATTGTATTCCTTGGGTTATGACAAATGTGTAATGACATGTGTCCACCATTAAAGTCTCATCCAGAGTAGTTTCCCTGCCCTGAAAATTCTCTCTGTTTCACCTATTCATTCCTCCCATAGCGCATGGAGCAAAATGGAGCAATAACTTTTTAATTTTGCTGCTAATCTAACTTTTCTTTTCAACCCCCTCCTCCATTTGCTGTAATTAGCACAAATAATACCTTTTCCTTAATGATTTCCCTCATTGTTAAAGGATCTTTATAAAGATAACTATAAGATTGGCTCTATATTATGTCCATCCAATATGCCATCTTACTTATCAAAATTCATTTGTTAAGTGGTAAATATCAACCAGAAATGGCATCTGTGGTATATGAGGAAATGTGTCAGGTTATCTAGGGAAAATAGAGGACTTAAGTTAGCAGTCTCTGGGGAAGTCCTATAGGTCCCCAGGGAGAGAAAAAACAAGAAATTTAAAATGGCAGAACTGTGAAATGGTTTGCATTCTTTCACCTGTAACAAAGGTAAGAACAGCCAGGAGTGGAGTAGAAATCTGAGCAGATAGAGTTAAAGGTCTTTGTTAAGTTTTCTAAGTTCATATTTATTCCTAGATGCTATGGAAAAAAAGAACTCTACCTCATAGTAATGCAATTATAATGAAAAATTCATACACACACACGCACACACAATGTATTATGTAGTAATTAGAAACAGAGGCACATGTGATCAACTAGATTCACCCTTCAGGATGATCTGAGGCAAAGTAAGGAGGGAATTTATGGTCCAAAGAGGAATACATATAAAAGAGTTGAATCTGTATGCTAAAGAAAGCTTTGCCCTGTCCAGTGTGGCTCAGTTGGTTGGGCCTTGTGTATCAAAAGGTTGCTGGTTCAATTCCTAGTCAGGCCAGATGCCCTGTGGTGGGCTTGATCCCCAGTAGGGGGAGTGCAGAAGGTAGCCAATTGATGTTGCACTCTCACATCGATGTTTCTCTTTCTCTCTCCCTCTCCCTTCCTCTGTCTCTAAAAATCAATAAAAATATTTTTTTACACGAAGAAAGCTTCTATTAGACTCACTCTATGGCTTCTCCTTTAATTTTGACTGTGTTGGGAAACAGGAATTTACCACCCCAAAATATGTCTCTTCGTCATGAGTTTATTTTAGGCTGATTCTTTTTAAGAAACAAAAGACTCAGGAAGGGCTTTTTACCTCCCCCTTAACTGCCTAAGAGAATTTAGATAAACAGCCTAGTCTAGAAAGAGCTTTCACCAGAGATAACTACAAAGAGTATAAGTTAGGTGTGATAGGGCTTAGAGACCAAAGACCTCTCTGTATCCCATTGTCTACTCATGGCCCAGTAAACATATATTTATGTTTACCTGTACATGAATCTCGTGCCTGGGGCCGCTAGTGTATTAATATTACCTTGCCTAGTCTACTCCATTGTGTAAAAAGGTCCTGGAAATTAGACAATACTTTAGTAGTGCCCTGCTAGAGAGCAGAGCAGAATAAACTATCTACAGCTTGGTTTGTTGTCCCCACCTACCATGCTTTGAGGAGTGAGGCAATAACACAGTCAACATTATTAGTTAACAAATAGAGTAAAAAAAAAAACATCAAATATTTTTTTTGAGAGCTTTCTATAGTCTAAAACTTTGGTAGCCAACTAAGTGGCCAGTTTCACAAAGAAGTTCTTACAATCAATGTGAAATTAAAAGAAGTCAAAATCTAATTGAAAAAGAGTTCCTTTATTAAGAAGCATTTCACATTAATTTTCGTTTCATGGAATTGATGTTCAAAGCCAGCAGAGAAAGTCACCTATTCAATATGAACATCAGTCACCACGCATGTAACATGGTCACTTTACAAGATTGCCCTTCAGCATATGTTGCAATCACTAACAATAATACCAGCCAAAATTGATAAGAATAATATTTATCTGTCCAGTTAGCCAGTGTGGGAGAAAACAAGACAGATGATATGCACTGCAGTTTGGCTCCTGATCCAACTCCTCCATTGAAACTACCATCATAATTACTTAAACTAGTACATACTGTTTTGTCCTTTTCTTAGTTAACCTTGTTGTTTTTCCTTTAATTTGATTCTACTGATCATCTCTTCCTCATAAATCCCCCTTCTCTCTTGGCTTATAAAACCTCACTCTCCTGATTTGATTACTATCTGCCTGAAAATTCCTTCACTAAAACTTCTTCCTATGCCAAATCTTTACATCACCATCACTAAAAAATTCTAATACCAATTAAATTTATGTCCCTTCAACAATAATGTTCTTTGCCACTATTAAAATTTTTAATTATGGCCCAGCCAGCATTGTTCAGTGGTTGAGCATCGCAGTTCTATTGCAGGTCAGAGCACACACCCAGGTTGCAGATTCAATCCCTGGTCGGGGTGCATGCAGGAGGTAGCCAATCTATGTTTGTTTCCCTCTCACATCTCTCTCTCTCAAATCAATTTTTAAAAATTAAAAAGAAAAATAAATTCGGGAGTTCTGGTCAAGATGGCAGTGTAGGTAAACATGGTAATCACCAATTCCCACAACTACATCAAAATTACAATTGAAATATACAGAACAACTATCATTCAGAACCACCTGAAGTCTAGCTGAATGGAAGTCCTACAAATAGGGAATTAAAAAAGAAGCACATCAAGACTGGTAGGAGGGGCAGAGATGCAGGGGGAGAATCTCAACCCAGTTGGTCCCACACCCTCATGTGGTAGTTTAAAATCAAGAGGGATATCTTGGCTGTGGGGTTTCCCTAAGGAGTGAGGGGTCACAGCCCCACACCAAGCCATCCAGCCAAGGGGTTCAGTACAGAGAAGAGAAATCCCCACAACTTCTGGCCATAAAAACCAGCAGGGATTGTGACTGAGTGACACAGAGGCTGCAGGCCTCAGGTAATTCCCTCTTAAAGGGCCTTACTCAGACATACTCCCTCTGACCTGCAGCACTGGGGTGACAGCTTGAAAGGAACCTGGCATATTTGGGGAGGAACTAACTTGCTTGAAATCAGAGTGAGAGCTGGAGAGGGAGCTTTCTCCCAGAGAGAAGTGACGGCAGAGGCCATTGTTTCTTTGCTGAGCCATCCCTACCACTGAGCTGACAGGCAGGGCACTATATCTGAATATCCATGAACCTGGCTGACACTTTTGCCCCACCTTGGTGATTTCCTGAGACCCCACTCCTCCCTACTTGCAGGCTCATCCAAGCCATTTCCAGTAGCTCTTCTATACAACTGGCCTCTCTTGTTTCATGCTTGGACTTTACTAAAATCTCTCAAACAAGCAGCAGCTGGCCTCGGCATGCCCTAGGCCCAGCACTAGCAGCAGCCCACCTTGGTCCGTAGCTTGGTCTCTCCTGGGCACCTCCAAGCCCAATATAAGTAGCAGCCATCTGCAGATTTCTTTGTACCTTATGCTGGTGGCCCTGGACAGGGCAAAGGAAGGCTCCAGAACCAAGGCACCTGGTGGTCAGCTTTGACCAAGCAGGATCACAACCCTACCACCCCCACGAGTGACACACTCAAAAGGCAGACTCAGTGAGTACCAAAGCCCCACTGAAGCAAGTCCTGCTCCATAGGATCAGCTCCTGCACAGCAGCGCTTCCACTGCAATCTCAGCCAATCCCCATAATTAATTGGCCTGGGGGTCAATCCCTCCCACTGATGCCAATATCAACCAAGGGTCAACTACAATAGGACAGTGCACAAAGCTCACATAGGAGTACACCTGGAGTGCCCAACTAGGTGACTAGGGAGGTTGAGCCACTGGACCCTACAAGACACCTACTACACATGGCCACTCTACCAAGACCAGGAGACATAGAAGAGCTACCTAATACATAGAAGCAAACACAGGGAAACAGCCAAAATGCAGAGACAAAGAAACATGTCACAAATAAGAGAATATAAGAAATCTCGCCGAAACCGGTTTGGCTCAGTGGATAGAGCGTCGGCCTGCGGACTGAAAGGTCCCAGGTTCGATTCCGGTCAAGGGCATGTACCTGAGTTGCGGGCACATCCCCAGTGGGAGATGTGCAGGAGGCAGCTGATCGATGTTTCTCTCTCATCGATGTTTCTAGTTCTCTATCTCTCTCCCTTCCTCTCTGTAAAAAAATCAATAAAATATATTTTTTTAAAAATTAAATCTCTAGAAAAAGAAATACATGAAGTGGATGCAAGACAACTACCAGATAAAGAGTTTAAAACAATGGTTATACAGATGCTCAAGGAACTTACTGAGAACTTCAAGGAACTTGGAACACCAACAACATAAAAAAGGACCAATCAGAAATGAAAAATACACTAACTGAAATAAAGAATAATTTACAGGGATTCAAAAGTGTAGGACACTGAGAATCAAATCGAGACTTTGGAATATAAGGAGGCAGAAAACACCCGATCAGAATAGCAAAAAGCACAAAGAACCCAAAAATATGAAGACAGCGTAAGGAGCCTTTGGGTCAACTTCAAGTGAACCAACATTCACACCAGAAAGAGAAGAAAGGGATCAAGAAACTGAACACCTTGCCGAAAACGGTTTGGC